TGGTACACACCTTAAAATCATTTCCTCTTATGTGCTTACAAAGACTAAAACTATGATGCTTAAAAAATATTTCAGAATATCCACCAATCTGATGAGAAAGGTCTGCCCCTGTGTTTTGACATTGACTTCCTCATTTTACTGGGTTCCACAGATCCCACTGCAGCATATACATCCAAAAGTAATATTAAAGATTGTATAATCAAACATATTTTTCCATCTAATATATTTTTTTCTTCTCTTCCGACCTAATTAAAACCCAATATATGGACTAGTATCAATGTAATATCTCTTATTTTCTTCTAAATAATAAAGGGGATTACACATTTAAGTTAAGTTTAAGTTAAAACAATACAGAAATTTTAGCATTTTTCTTTAATATTACATGTGGTATATGAAGAAATAAATTTATTTTGCTTGCCAAAAAGTCATAGACAGAAAAATTAATGTACAGTTTGTGATCCTACATATTGGCTTTACTTATATATAGGGTCAGTTTGATGGCAAAGAGGTTTAACCCGCTGTTAAATCTCTTATAAACAAACTGCAATAAAATTTGGTAACATTTTATTTTTTTGAGAGTTTATATCTGTAACATTTCAACAGCTTATTAGTTGAAATTCAATAATTTAACTGCTTTATTCTGTATATTTAACAGCTTATCTATGGAGTGTATAGATAATTTAATTTAATGTAGATGGACTTCAACTATTCACTCATCCTTTGGAGCATTAAATGAGTGAATAGTTTAAGCTCATCTAAATTATTGTGGGAATATTTAGTGAATGGATCCATATAATGTTTAGATAAACATCTAAAGACAAAGTGAAACAGTTAAATTCAGTTAAAGTCATAAATACTCACTAAAATATCTGTAGTTGGACTGTCCAATTTAAAAAGTAGCTAAAATTCTAATAACAAAAATACAAAGATATTAATACTATGGACAAGTGTGTTTGTGAACACACTTATTTAGGATTTTGGAGACAGATTGCAGCACAAAAAGAGACACATATATAAAGCATATGAAAGCCAATTTTATCTATGTTTTCAGCTGAGACCAAAAAAAAGAATTCACTTGTAATTTTCTGTCATCTCAAAAAGCAGTTCTCATAAAATTAGGAAAAAACGTGATAAGCTGATAAAGCAATATTATATGTGTTTTTAGCTGTCTTTGTGACCCCAAACAGAACAGCAGATAAATCTTATACACAAAACAGTGTATTCTCACATCAGTAACATGGCCAGTGTCGCATGTTTCCACACAGAGAGTTTGATTTCATCAGCTACGGTCCGAGAATAAAAATTAAAGAAATGTTCTACAGATAGAAGAAGTGTTCTTAAATGCATTTAACATCTTGTGATGAATAAGAGTATGGCTATGATATCGCTGCTATCGTTCTTGGATGTCAGACAAATCTGGCAGACAACTACGAGATGAGGGCAGTTCACTCGTCTCACCTGCAAAGCTCACCTCAACCGATTACCTCAACCACCCCCCCCAACCCATAACCACCCACCCCCCCGCCTCCACCCACCTGCCCCCAACATAATTCAAGCGTTGCCTCTCTGAACTCCAGCAGGGGTCCATCGACTTATTGCATTATGTACTATTAAACAAACTTGGACTTCTTAAAAGCAGAGTCAGACTTCAGAGGCTGTGTGGCATGTTTATAGGGATGGACTGTACAGTACACAGAGATTTCTCATTTCTCCCGGTGACCTTGGGCACAGTGACATGTACGGTTTTGAGGCTTTGATTTGCTACGTTGAGGGGTTGCGGAAAAGGTGCAATGCAAGATAATTTTGGCATTTTTTCCCTCCTGGGAGCATAGAGAAGTAAGAAATACAGCACTTCATACTCTGGAGATTACAGGTAATATGGCACACAGCCTTCATAAACATTCTTGACCCAACCTGATGATGGAGATATTGCTTCAGGAGAGACTTTTCACACTTTGATTTGCCTAAAATGAGATGGAGAAGCCAGTGATCAAGACTCTTTGAGGTTCCTCACAGAGAAGCCAGCAACTGGCTGTATATCTCCCAGCGTTGCACACAGCACACACACACACTATGACAACCAGGTGAGCAAGAAGCAGACTCCTGCAAACAAATAGAGGAAAATATCCTCAAAGAGATGATATTGATGTTTTATTCATGTCAGGCAAAAAAAAAAAAATACTAAAATGATCCATCTCAAGCCATTGAAGCCAGGTGATAATCCACATGCTCGTGGGGCAGCCCTGGGCAAATTAGGGATGAGGGAACCATTGTACGTCCCTCTAAGGTCAACATGGTTGAACCGGTGATACATATGTATGTTAATTTGCCTAATCTCACTTCTACAAATGTCTTACAGGCACATAAAGGGTTTAACACTAAGACATAATGATATCAGGGCATCAGACGGGGGGCTTATGAAAACATCAGGCGGCCATAGCTTTAAATCTTCTGGAACCTTTGTATCAGCTGTCAATATAGCTACAGTCAAATACCAAGG